TTATGGGCTGAGCTAAAAGAAGAGGTGAGTAATATCGATGGCCCGATATTCATCGGTGGTGATTTTAATACCATTTTGCGGCTGGATGAAAGGACTGGTGGGAGTGGGAGTTTATCTGATGACTCTTTATTGTTTGGTGATTGGATAAATGAGTGCTCCTTGATTGATATGGGCTTTAGTGGAAATCAATACACTTGGAAGAGAGGGAAGATGGAGAGTACTTTTGTAGCTAAGAGATTGAATCGAGTGTTGTGTTGTGCTCATGCAAGAATCAAATGGCAGGAGGCGAGTGTTAAACACCTTCCTTTTCTTGCCTCAGATCATGCCCCGCTGTATCTCCAATTGACTCCGGAAGTTAAATGTAATGCTGGGAGGCGCCCGTTCAGGTTCGAGGCGGCCTGGCTTCAGCACAGCGATTTTAATGAGCTGGTAGCAGCCTCCTGGAACAGGGATATAGACACAAGAGAGGCTCTAAAACGGCTAGGAGTAATTCTAAGGAGATGGAACAAAGAAGTCTTTGGTAACGTGCAGAAAAGGAAGGAGAGTCTATTTCTGGAGATAAAGGAAATACAAGAGAAGATATAACAAGATCATACTGATGTTTTGTTAGCAAAGGAGAGTGAGTTGATTAACGAATTGGAGACTGTCCTTGAGCAGGAAGAAGTTCTTTGGTTTCAAAAATCGAGGGAGAAGTGGGTCGTTCATGGAGATAGAAATACAAGCTTTTTCCACATGTCGACAATTTTCAGGCGTCGGAGGAATCGAATAGAGATGCTGAAAAATGATGAAAATAAATGGGTTCATGATGCGAGGGAAATCCAGGAGATAGCGGTGAGTTACGTCAGAAAGCTATACTCTTTGGATGACGTTGATATGGATACACGGGGCTTACCTGAGAGGAGATTTGTGAATCTTACGGGGCAGAACTATACAAGTTTGAATAGGATCTTTACGGCAGAGGAGGTGGAGAAGGCTGTACGAGATATGGGAAGCTTTAAGGCTCCGGGACCAGATGGGTTTCAACCAATCTTCTACCAGAGGTGCTGGGAAACAGTAGGAGATTCGGTGATAAAGTTTGCCACAGAGTTTGTCGAAGCGGGGAAGCTACCTAAAGAGACCAACGATGCTCTAGTCGTCTTGATTCCGAAAGTCAGTTCACCGGAAAGCATTAACCAATTTAGACCGATCAGCCTCTGTAATGTCTTGTTCAAAATCGTCATGAAAGCGATGGTAGGAAGACTGAAGGGAGTTATGAACAAACTCGTTGGGTCTGCTCAGTCCAGTTTCATTCCAGGGAGATTAAGTGCAGATAATATTGTTGTGGTTCAAGAAGCGGTCCATTCAATGAGAAAGAAGAAGGGACGGAGGGGTTGGATGCTGTTGAAGTTGGACTGGAAAAAGCCTATGATAGGCTGCGCTGGGATTTCTTGGAGGACACACTACGGGCAGCGGGTTTGTCTGAAGAGTGGGTGGGTAGGGTTATGGAATGTGTCTCGGGACCAGAAATGTGTATACTGTGGAATGGTGAGAAAACTGAGTCATTTAAGCAATCACGAGGGCTCCGACAAGGAGATCCTTTGTCTCCGTACTTGTTTGTGTTGTATGGAGAGACTCTGTCACTTAATTGATGAAGCCGTGGAAGAGAAGAGATGGAAACCTATTCGGTTGTCAAGAGGTGGCCCTCAGTTGTCTCACATTTGTTTTTCTGATGATTTGATTCTATTTGCTGAAGCGTCAGTTGCACAGATCAGAGTGGTGAGGAAAGTGTTGGAAAAGTTTTGCAAGGCATCGGGGCAGAAAGTTAGCCTTTAGAAGTCTAAAATCTTCTTCTCAAGTAATGTCTCCAGAGGGAGGGAGGAACGGATAAGCAGAGAAAGTGGATTTGCTTCAACCAAAGAGTTGGGAAATTACCTTGGAATGCCGATACTTCAGAAAAGAATCAACAAGGATACATTTGGGGATGTCCTTGAGAAGGTTGCTTTGAGACTTGCGGGATGGAGGAAGCAGACACTTAGCCTTGCTGGCAGAGTCACGATGACGAGAGCAGTACTATCATCGATACCAGTTCATACTATGTCAGCGATTAGCTTACCCGCAAGCACTATCGATAAGTTGGAGAGTTTAATGAGATCATTTGTTTGGGGAAATGGCCAACACTTGGTCTCATGGGATAGAGTCTGCAGACCAAAGAGGATGGGAGGACTTCGGATCCGGATGGCAAGAGAGATGAATAAAGCATTAATTGCTAAGGTAGGATGGCGTTTGTTACATAGCCCAGAGAGTTTGTGGGCACGTGTCCTTATAAGCAAATACGGAGTTGGCAATATCTGTGATCGGGCTTGGATGGGAAATCGTAGCAATGGATCCTCTACTTGGAGAAGTGTGGCAATGGAGGTTCGGGAGGTGGTATTAGAAGGACATGGGTGGGTGATAGGGAATGGCAGGACAATCAAATTCTGGAATGACAAATGGATATCGGACCAAACTCTGAATGAAGTTGTGATCGCAGAAGTACCGGAGGAGTACTCAACAGTAACCGCACGAGATATGTGGGTAGAGGGGAGAGGATGGGACCATACTCGTATTACTCCTTACGTATCGGAGGAGACATGGCTTGAACTAGGATCAACAGTGGTTGATACAGTCACTGGAGGAGATGACAGGTTGTCGTGGTGTGATACCAAGAACGGTCAGTATACAGTCGGATCAGCTTATGAGTTAATCACACGGGATGAGACCCCTGGACAGGATATGGAGCTCTTCTTTCGTAGGCTGTGGAAGGTAATAGCGACAGAAAGGGTGAGAATGTTCTTGTGGTTAGTTGTTAATCAAGCCATAATGACGAACGCTGAAAGCTTTAGACGTCATCTGAGTGGCATAGACGTGTGCCAAGTGTGCAAAGGAGGTATTGCGACAATCTTACATGTTTTTAGAGATTGTTCAGCGATGAAAGGTATATGGGACCATTTTGTAATAGAGAGAAAGAAGGAAGTTTTCTTTTCACCGACACTACTAGAATTGATGTACAAGAACTTGAGTGATACGAAAGTGAGAGATGGGATCCCGTGGCCGACAAAATTTGCTCTTGTTGTTTGGTGGGGTTGGAAATGGAGGTGTGGTAATGTATTTGGAGAGACCCGGCTTTGGAGAGATAGAGTTTTATCTTGCGGAACATGGCGAGGGTATAAGTTAAAGCGAACGAGGCTAAGAGTAAGCCTGGAAGAGGAAGACAATGCAGCGAAATCATGGTGCAGTGGAGACCACCACCTGTGGGTTGGACGAAGGTGAACACGGATGGTGCTTCGAGAACACGGATGGTGCTTCGAGAGGGAACCCGGGGTTGGCGACGGCAGGAGGAGTACTAAGAAATAGTGATGGAGAGTGGCTTGGTGGCTTTGCTCTGGATATTGGAAGATGTGGAGCTATTTTGGCAGAGCTCTGGGGAGTGTACTACGGCCTGGTACTCGCTTGGGAGAAGGGGATACGAAGATTGGAGGTTGAAGTGGATTCGGAGGTGGTGGTGAAGTTCTTTGAGACAGGAATTGAGGACACTGATCCGTTGTCTTTCCTGGTACATTTGTGCCATGGCTTTCTTAGAAAGGACTGGTTAGTCCGTGTTGTTCATGTGTATAGGGAAGCAAACCGCTTAGCTGATGGTTTAACTAACCTTGCATTTCATCTTCCTTTTGGTTTTCGTAATTTTGTTGTTATTCCATCTGAGTTTGTTGCTTTGGTTCAAGAGGATGTTTTTAGACCTGCAAGGCCAAGACTTACTCGAGTGTAGTTGATGTTGGCATTTTAATAAAATTGGGAGGCATCTCTCATACTCTTAACCAAAAAAAGAATATATTAATATTTATTAAAAAGAAAAAGAAATAAAGACAATGGCATTTGGTTGTAAATATATTAAAAAAAGTAGGGACAGAATCCCAAGAGGAATTATGCTTTAATAGTATAGATATATCTAATGTTTCATTTTGACTATATACATATGCTAATCTTGTATCATATGTACTATAATTATTTTATAGATTTATATACAAAAACTTCTATAGGATAAACCTAAAAAAAGTTTTTGTCACAAATATAGATCTTAAAAATAAAATGACCAAAATATATTTAAATATTTTATCAAAAATAAATAATATATATATATATATATTCCTTTTGGGTTAACAGTTCCTAGATATTTTTGTTTAGAGCTAAGAAGTGCGGTTTTAGAGATAGGGTTTCAAAGTTTGTCCAAAAAAAAAAAAAAAAAAAAAAAGAGATAGGGTTTCAAATTTAAAAAAGAAAAAACTTAAATTTTCAAAATAAAAAATGCTATTTTGATTATTTTAGTTTTTGAGATTTACTTTGTGATAAATCGAACAATATTTAAATCATGTATATTAAATCAGAAGTCTGATTAAATCGAACAATATTTAAATCATGTATCATATGTACTATAATTATTTTTTACATTTACATATTACAATTAATATTATTTGAATTTTAAAAGGCAATTCTTTCAAATATAATTTTTAAGTTTTTTATCACAAAAATAGACTTCAAAACTAAAAAAACCAAAATAGCATTTTTTATTTTAAAAAATTTAAATTTTTTTTTTATCTTTTAAAATTTGAAATCATATCTCTAAATTCTACTACTCAATTCTAAACAAAAAGACTTATGATCCCCAAATGGTAATATATATTTATTTATTTTTGATAAAATATTTATATTCATTTTGATAATTTTTATTTTTAAAATCTATATTTGTGACAAAAGAAAAATTTAAATCTATCCTAGGTAATTTCTCTATATTAAATCAGAAGTGTGATTAAATCGAACTATATTTAACCGTGATCCGGTTTAACTTTGGTCCGACTTTAAAAACATTGGGTCAGTGACATCAATTTTCTACAAACCTAACTGTCCAATCACTACCACTGACTAACTTGAGTATTTGGAACTTCTAACAATAATGAGTAATCACTAGTGCACTGGTGACAAACATACGCTCTTAAAATAAAGCTTCAATATAGCTAAACATACAGTCTCAATATGATACAGACCCAAATGATGAAACATAAACATATTGCTCATAAATCATAAGAAATAGAAACACATCAAATCATACCTTTTAAGACCACATTTCTCTGCTTGCAAAGACAGATAATAGAAAGTTTCACACCACAATATTGCAGAGAGAAACTAACGATCAACACACGCTTTCGTTCTTCGACCATATATATATATATATAGAAACCTTTTAAACATGAGAGACACCTTGAACCAGACAGACAGGAGGAAGGAAACTTCATTGTACCTGAAAACAGAGTTTTGAGTTTCAGATTTTGTCAAGCTTCTCTGCCTTCACAACCGGGTTTGCTTTAGCTATAGCTTCTTGCGCAGCAGCATGGTAATTGAAGGAGCAGTTATGTATGTCTGCATAGCGGTGTGTCCCGCAGAAGAGGTCACCACAGCGACATTTGAATCCGGTCAAACCAACCCGTTTGTTGCAAGTAGCACATCGGCTTGGTCCTTCCTTTGGTTTTGATGCAGCTGCTTCTGGAGCTACGGCCTCTGCGACGACTTGGACAGAGGATGGCAGTACAGAAACAACTACTGGCTCAACGGATTTGGTTTCAGCATCAACCAACGCAGCAGTAAAGGTTTCCTTCATTATGTTGCTGGATGATGATGCAAACATAGTCCCCTGTTCCTGTTGAAACAGGATAGTCTTGTGACACTTCGAACACATGTTCATTGTGGCAGCGCTTCCAAAGAAACCGCAATTGTTGATGCAAAGCTTGGGACCTTCAGGTGGACTTTGGCATCCTGTCTTGTCGTGGTCCATTTCTGCATTTCAAAACAGGCATCCTCAATTTCACGTAGAAGACAGACATTTTTTGTTAAAAAAACTACTCAATTCAATACGTTTCACTAACGTCTCAGAAAGAAAAAAAAGCACAGTCGTTATAATTAACCATAAGCAAATGAAGATGTTGTTTTCAACATAGACTCTAATCTACCATTATACACAAACTCATAAGTTCATAACATATTACCAACTTCTTATGGAACCCTTCTAATGGATTAAGATGTGGAAAACTGAGTGAAACAAGCCTAGAACTGCTATTTGTGCTAACACTAAAACCTAATGCACAAACAAATACTCATTTCCGTCCAACACTACCTTCCCTTTTTAGAAATGAACCTTTGGTATCAGCATAAAAGCTGAGGACTTCCATAGAAAATGATTTCAAATTTGGAAACCATACAAAACCCACATAGCTAATCTCACTCCCATCTAACCACTAGCTTTTCTTCAAGAGATACTAAAAGATCAAGAATATAGCCTTCCACATCAGAACAAAAGTTTAAAATCGCTGAACCAACACTAGAAATTAAAAGTACAAGAATTAGCCTCACATCCAACACTACCTTCCTCCTAAGAAATGAATTATTGGAAGTTAACCTATAATATGAGCTCAAAAGCTGAGAAATTTCATAGCAAATCATTTCAAATCTCTAAACCATACAAAAGCCACATAGCCTAATCTCACTTCCAGTCAACATGCAAATACTACCCACTAATCAAATCATTAAAAAAGTATCATAAAGTTAGCTATGTAGTATCTACATCCGACACTATCTTCCTTCTTAGAAGAAGTTAAACTTTGATATCAGCTAAAAAGCTAAGAACTTTGACAGCGAATGATTTTAAATTCTAAAGCATACAAAACCCACATAGCCTAATGTCACTACCATTCAACATGCAAATCCTACCCACCAATCAAATCATTAAACATTCGAAAATCATCAAAACGTCTCATAAACTTACGCTTAAAAAGTGAACCCTAAATATTAAACTAGAAAATCGAATAACCAAAAAAGCTATTCACCTGTTCTAGCCCGAGAAGCCTTGATTGATCAATCAGTACCTAATCAATTGAAAAGAAAAGAGACAAAAACCCAACACCATAAGTCGACAGAACAAAAAAAAACACACAAAAGGGGAAATCGAAAATCGAAACCCAAACCCGATATAACGGATACCAATCAAAATAGAAAGGAAGAGAGAGAGAACTTTACCGTAGGAATATCTCCAAAGAAGGATCTGTCTGCTGGAGAGATCCAGCAGAAGCTGAGAGGTTAGAGACGAGAGAAAAAAAAGGTTTCGGCTTTTGTCTCTTTGATATTTTTTGGGATGTTTATATATTTCATTCGCACCGTTTGTGTTAGAGTTTGCTATGACGTGTACGTGTTTTATTAGCTGTTTGCTTAGATTTTTTTTCTCTTTATTCATTTCAAATTTTCAATTTCTCTTTTGTAAAGGTATTCTTCTTTAAATATGGTTAGATATTTTCAAAAATATCTAATTATTATTATTTTTTAAACGTAATATAACTGATATTTGGCATTGGCAGCTTATAAACTGAAAACTAAATCCTGAAAACGCTCTACCTTCTCTCTATCACCTTGCCGTTTTAAAAGTGTAATCTGACCGACGTTGGTGGGCTTCCTTAGCCGCGACGTCGGTCGGATCTTTAAATCCCAACGTTTTTCTTTTCCGATATGTATCCTGTGTTTGTTTGGTTTAGTTTCCGGAGACGCATTTATCTTTTGGTGGTTGTTCGGCGTTGTCTCCGGTGACATACTTTGTTTTCGGTGGTCGCTCGGCTCTGTCTTCAGTGACGCACTTTCCTTTTGGTGGTCGTTCGGTTTTATCTCTGGCGTCGTCATCTTCTTATGCGATGAAGGCGGTCGGCTTTAGTCCCCAATTACGACTTGAAACTCTTAAGGTGTAAGTAGGTTTCGGTAGTTGCTAGGGTGAATTGATTTGTGGTGGCTTTGGATCCAGAATGAGATCTCGACTTCGGCCGATGGAGGCTCTCTTTAAGAAGAAGCATTGGTAAGGAAGATTTTTGTCTTCTCTGAGGTGGTCTGATATGGTGCTGCTCCGTTCCCAGCGGTTCTCTAGTGGTAGGTCTTCGGAGAAAGCTGTGGCGGCTGAGATCCAGATTGCTAGAGTTTCAAGGTAATGGGCTTTTGGGCCAATTAGGGTTCTTTGTGCTGGTTATGTTGGTATGGGCCTTTATGTATTTCGGATGGGCATGTTGTTTTGGGCATCTCTTAGTTGTATTGAATAGGTTGTAATCCTATTGGGATTTGCCCTTTTTAATTTATTTCAGATGGCAAACAAAAAAAACTGATATTTGGCTAAAGTGGAACTTATGGAAAATGCCACTGATATTAAAACTACACTTGAAATTTTTTTATTTTTTTTATAACTTCTATCTTATTAAATCAACTAGAGAGTACATAACCTTCATATAGAAGATCCCTTGTATATTAAAAGAGAATCATTTAAAAAGTTGTAACCTTAAATTTGTAATAATTAAAAATAACCATATTCCTATGTGGCATAGCTTTTTATCTTCTATTTCAATTTAGAAAGATTCCAGAGCATGTTATATAATATAATATATAGTCTAAAAAGTATACTCTCTAGCAATATAATATTTCGTAGACTATAGTTGGTCGTGTATATCAAATATTTATTGTTTCGCATGCTTTCCTTAAATAAAACATATGTAATTACTTAATGTGATTAATATATATATATATATATATATATATGATAATTAATTATTTTAAATAATAAAGATTTGATAGCAATCTATATACTTTTTCTCATTTTGTTTATTTCTTTATTATTAAAATAAATTACACAATTACATTAATCAAATAATAAAAATCTAGATTTTTTGTGTATGTTGTATTACAAATTTTTAAAAATGAGTATAAATTACTAAAACTGTTAAAAGTCTCACATAAACTTTTAGGATCAAGGTTTTAATTTTTTCTATATTAAAATATAATGATTATAAGACCATATAAAGAAATAATTTTAGTTTATATATATACTTCATATCGTTTAAATTAAACTATACATCATATGAAAATACATATGTATACTTTGATATTTGCAATGAACATATATTGAAAAGTTATTTTTCTAATTTTGAAATATGTCATTGTTTTTTTAACAATGATTATAAATTATTGAAACTACTAAACATATCACATTAAAAAAAAATTCGTTGGTGTAAGGTTTTGTTACACAAATATGAAAATAATCATAAAATCATATGAGTAGAAACCTCATTTGATAAATATCCATATTAAAAGTGTGCTATATTACTATGTTTATATCATTTAAATTAAATTATCTATCATATACAATATATAAGATTGATTATTTTGATTTATTTATCCTAATTGCGAATAAACAAGAGTGATAGTTAAATTTATATGCATACGCCAATTTATTACATAATAGTAATTGATTTCTTAATTATTTAATATATATATTTATTATTTTATTATTTTGTAATATGAAGAGAAATATAAAATATAAAATACTTATTGTGCATAAAGTGCAGATCTTAACATAAATATGTATCTCTTTAATTATTTTAAATCATAAGTATTTTCTAAATCCCAGGTTAAAACAAACAAACGAAGTGAGAATAAACTTCAAAATAAATACTTATATCGAGGAATAACCAAAATAAAATAAAAACACAACAAGAGAAACAAATTGAAGATAAATAGGATTGACACGTGAACGTAAACTTCTCATAACCATAATTAATTTTTAAATTTTTAAATCATGATATAAAACTGAGTTAATTTTTGATTTGTTAATTTTTTAATTTTTTTAAATCATTATGGTTATGTTAAATCATGACCATAATTAATTTTCAATTTTTTATTTGCATTTGAAATACTTAAAATATTGTTTTTAAAAATAATTTAAAATTTAACTTATTTTTTTATAAAATTAATATTTTTGAATATATTTTGTAAAAAATATAATTTTTAATATTATTAGACAAATAAATTTTATTAATTTAGTTTTTGAAACTTTATATATTTTAAATGCAAATATTTTACCTACTGCTTCTTAAGAAAGCATTAGGGAACTTGCTAATACTCTACCAATCAAGTCCAGTGACACTCTGTTTAATTATTTTCCATCACTCGAACACTGAAAAGTGAAAAGATATATTAAATCGGGTCCATTAAATTCTAAGTTTTGATATACAGTTCTAATTATAATTGTTTGTGATCCTAATTTGTTATTGAAATGGGTACATAGGTATGAAAAACAAAGTTCTCTGTTGATGAAGTTGTCGTTGCTAACTTATCAACAACCTTTTTAGCTTCTCTCTTGGTCCATTGAAAATATATCGCTTCAAACTTGTTATACCACCATCTAATTTCCCGAGTCCAATTATACATACCAAAATGAAGCTTCTTATTTTGCAGGATTTCATTCATTACCTCACAATCCGATTCCATAATAACAAGTTTATATCCTAAACTCCAACAGTGTTGGATACTCATAAGAAGTGTCTGAAACTCACATTTCAGTCCATGTAACACCGGCTTTCCAACTGCTTGAACAGCTCCTCTGTAATTATCATTTTCATCAAGAAAAACCCATCCAGCTTTCCCTGGTCTATTATCATTGACATAAGAACCATCAATGTTGCATTTTATCCATGTTTGTGGTGGTCTTGTCCATTTACACAGATGTGCTTCTGATCCCATACTATCTCTTCGTTGTCCTACTGCCTTATCAATATCGTCTTGTCTTGCTCATTCCTTTGCATCATCCTTAGCATATTGCAGTAACGTCCTCCAATGAGCCGTTTTTTGTTGAAAGATAAGAACATTTCGACTCTTCCATAGCCTCCATAAAATCCACAAAGATAGTTGTTGCAAATGTTGGAATTTTGTTGATGTACATAGCTGTAAACAAGTTAAAATCTTTTCTTCCAAAGTTCCATTTACTACACTTGAAATTTTTCATCAAAAATAATTGATCGATATTTTTAATTCTGTAATTTTATATTTTACTATAGTAAAATCATATATTTTCTTATTTTTAAATAACTAATTAAGATATAACATCTACAACTATAATAAAACTGGAAAATAACTGAATAAATTTTGTAATATTTGACGAACAAAATTTTTACACGAATTAATATTTTCATCATAACCCAAAATTTGAGACCACCTAAGAAAAAAATTATATATAAATTTAATATTAATTATTGGATTTTTCTCTCCTTGAGATTTTTTTGGAGATGTTTTATATTTCATTCACAACGTTTATGTTTGAGGCGGCTACATACGTGTATGTATCTAAATGACTGTTTCTTTTCATTTTTGTCTTTTTACTCATTTCAAATTTGTAATTTTTTTATCTTTTTGAGTTATTAATATGGTTTGATATTTAAAAAAAAAGTACTTTAATATTTTATTAATATGTGATTCTTAAAAAGATCAACCAATTAAAAACATATATTGAATGTGATTTTGGGTTAAATCCCCCTTTTAATGAAAACTTATTTTCGGGATTATTTAGATTTTTTTTTGGTGATCGCATCTTTGATAGCTTCTTTATCATCTTTTATTCTCTATTAATTGGATGTTATGCGTTGATTATTATGGTCTTGTTTTGATTCCTTAACAAGCACCTGATTTTCAAGTTTTTTATTTATTTTTCTGTGGATATGAAGAGAAAATCACTAGCTCAATTTTCAAGATGAATGCAAGGGTTGGTAGAGACTCGCGCCAAACCAATAAACTGAGTATGCGTTTAATCAAATACTAGAGTTTGATCCGTGCGTTCGTGTGGATATTAATTTTTACGTGTTTATTACCGGACTGAATTGGTTAATAAGATTATTTTTGATACAAATATTTGAACATGTTTCAGATAAATTGGTTATTTAGATCTTATGTTCTTATACATAAGAAAAAAAATTTCAGCATAGAGAAAAACTAAAGGGCAAAAGGCCCATGTTAGTATTTAATAATGGCCCAGATTATCCTCCCGTCGAGGACAAAATGACCCGGTTTAAGTTAATTATAGTAAACCGAACATGGGTTAAATGAAAACCACAGCTACAGCAGCATTCGTTCTGAATCTGATTTAGGGTTTATCAAAAAGGTTAAACCTTTATTTCTCTCAGAACTCAATCTCTATCACTCTGCGAACGAGACGCCTCCACCACTCGATGTCAAAGCTTCTTTGAACAGAGGGCAGAGTTCTTCGCCTTATATGCAGAGAAAATGCATCCGATTCCTCACCCGAGGAGCTCTGTTGTCGAGAATAAATGTTGTCAAAAGTTGTTGACTTCACAGTACATTTTGGCTAAGGTTTTTAGAAAAGATGGTCCTTCCCTTGGTTCCGATTTTGACCTTCCTCCCAAAGGTGTTGTTGATCAACAGAAAGAAGAAGCAAGTGTGGGAAGAAAGAGAAAGGTAATAATTGCAGAATTTCCCCCCAATCAGGATTTTTTTAGTTTTTGATCTTTCATTTTCTTTTTATTTAGGTTTCGGAGCAGAGTACGAGTAAGGAGGATTGCGTTGTGAAGAAACATGGTATTGGCAAGGGTTTGATGACAGCGTGGCGGGTCATGAATCCGAATAGTAAAGAAAGACCGACCTTAAAGAAGAAAATACAACCAAATCAAAAGAAGAAGCAATTAGCATCAATACTGGTACACTTGTGTTTTACTTATTTTATCTTTCTTTTGAAACTTCTTGTTAACTGCAGTTATTTTTTTTTTTGCTTTTTCAGAAGCAGAAACAGTTGCAGAAGACGGAAAAGAAGAGGAATTCTATAAATATAGCAGAGGTAGCTTAGATCCTTTTTTCTTTTTTTTTTCTGGAATTTTTTATTTAAATTATAGTCACAAGCCAAACAAAGAGATTATCTGACTCTTGCTCTGTAGACCACCGAATTAAACAAGGATCAGACGGCATTTAGTGAAAAATGTGAGCTTGGTGTGGACGGGGTGGTATTTAAAGAAACCTGTCAAACAATTTCGATACTAGTTGATGACGAGGAATTGGAGATGCGTGAGCAGCGACAGGAAGGACCCTTAACTTGCTCATGCCATACTGCTACTAGTGGTTGTTGTTTTCTTTGCAAAGGTATGTGTGTAATGTTATTTGTCTCTTGGCTCAATCAAGTACCTTTGTTACATCTATGTTGTTGTTCTTTCCAGATTTATTGCCCAAGTTTCCCCCAAGTTCTGTTCGCATGAGGCTACCTTTTGCTTTAAATCCATGGAATTCTTCTCCAGAGTCTGTCAAGAAACTTTTTAAGGTGAGCACTTGGTGATGATTTCTTCTTGAATTACCTTTCTTGGAAACTGACCCTAGTACTTTCGTATGTTGACAGGTTGTCCATTTCCTGTATACTTATTCAGTAACTCTTGATATATGCCCCTTCACGATTGACGAGTTCACACGCGCATTTCATGATAAGGTAGGTGCTCTCCCTTATTTGATAACAATATGTTCAATCTCTTATGTTCACTCTTTCTTAAAATAACATATATATATATATATATATATATATATATATATATATATATATATATTACATTTCCTCTTTCTCAGGACTCCTTGCTCCTTGGTAAAATTCATCTTTCCCTGCTGAAGTTGCTTCTGCTTGATGTTGAAACCGAGCTGCAAAGGGGATCTTTTTCAACCTTGAGTATATCATGCAAGTTTCTTGCCCTGCTACAGTCGGTATGCTTCCTTGAGCTAGTTTTTTCCTTGGCATACTTCCGTTTCTAGTTTGTTTTATTTTTTACATTCTCCATGATAATTTTTTAGGTGGAGAGCCAAATTATTATTCTTGATATGTGGAAGGATTCATTAAATTCTCTTACATGGGCGGAGATATTGCGTCAGATATTGGTTGCAGCTGGTTTTGGTTCAGTAAAGCGTGCTGCTGGTCAATCAGAGGAACTAAGTAAGGTGCTGATTTCGTTCACCCTTTTGATTCTCGTTGAAACACTATCTGTGCACTCTCTTTACTTGGCTTGCAAGACCAGTTTATCACATAAATGCCTAAAAATGCTACTTCTCTTGTCCTTAAGGACATATACTAGCATGTTTTGTTTATTCTTGAAGATGGGTTAGTTGCATATGGAATACTCAAGGTTCTTTCTCAATATTCTTTTTTTTTTAATTTATATCCTCCGATCCTGTGCATGTTCTATGTCGTTTATAGATTTTATTTTATATATTCTGATGCGTTATTGGTTGATGTTACCTTTCTTGTCCTCTTCTTTCTGTAGGAAAGGAGACTCATGAAAAAGTACGGCCTCCGTCTTGGAACATTAAAGGGTGAATTATTTAGAATGCTTAACGAGCAAGGCCAAAATGGCTTGAAAATATCCGAGTTAGCTGATGCAGCAGAGGTAAATTATTATCCACCGCTTCTTGTTAGTATGCTTGTACTGTTCTCCTGCTTGCTGAAATCCTCTAATAGAATAGGCTGCTGGCTGGTTAATGTTATAGGTAGCTGCGCTGAATCTTGCAACTGCATCAGAAGAACGAGAGCGTTCAATATGTTCAACGCTGGCAAGTGATATTACAATTTTCGAAAAAATATCTGAATCTACATATCGTGTACGTGTTAATTGTTTATCTGAGGAGAGCCAGTCTGATTCGGGCGAGTCTGGAAGTGTTGATGATGATGAATCTGGTGATGAGATGGAGCAGTGTGTTTCAGAAAGTTTTGTATTTCGAAAAGCTAAGTGTAGGAAAAGGCGGAAGATGCTTGAAGTATGCAGTGAGATTGATGAGAGCCATCCTGGAGAAGCATGGCTGTTGGGGCTAATGGAGGGGGAATATTCAGACTTAAGCATTGAAGAGAAGTTAGATGTTTTCATGGCTTTGATTGATCTTCTTAGTTCTTGTTCCACTATCAGAATGGAGGTAACTAACTAGAACACATATATTTCTACCAACTCTTCAAGTGCTGAATAACTTTCACAACAGATTGTTTCTGTATATGAATATAAAAACTGACACCCTTCTGTGAGAGTTGAGAATGACAAATAGATTTTTCTTATTATTTTTACAACTATGTCTTTGGTGCGTGTGCTAACTTTGATCTTGTACCACAGGATTTACCGAGAGCTATGGTTCCTAGCATCTATAGTCATGGTTCTGGTGGAAAGATCAAGAGAGCATCCTCCTCTAATCAGCGCGTATCATGGGTCCATGGAGGAGGAGAGAGAATCGAAGAGCTTTCTTCTAAATCGTCTGATTCTCATCCAGTTGATTCATCATTTATTGTGGCAAAGCTCGCTGGAGATAAAGTAGCTAATAATAATGTTCACCCTATGCAATCTGTATACCTTGGTTCTGACCGTAGGTTCAACAGATACTGGCTTTTCTTAGGCCCATGCAACCCGAATGACCCTGGTCATAGGTGTGTCTACTTTGAATCTTCTGAAGATGGTCACTGGGAAGTTATCAGCCACAAGGAGGTGATGTCATTGATTGTGCACAATTAAATGAGAACCTCTGTATTGATTCTGTTCCTATTTCCCTATTGCAGGCTTTGCGGGCACTGCTGTCAGTGTTGGATGATAGGGGTAGACGGGAAGCTCGGCTTATTGAGTCATTGGAGAAACGAGAAAGTTTTCTCTGTCAAGCCATGTTAAGAAGAGTTGAACATTTAGTCAGAGAGGACAGTTCGTCTTCTTCACCGGTCTCTGATATAGACAACAACAACCTATGTCTGAATGAAATTGCCAAGGATCAACAAGCAGCTATAGTATTTGAGACCCGGGACAAAAGCCTATTGTGGAGCCTTGTTCAGGAGTTTGATGAATGGATATGGGATAAATATTATCTTAATCTCAATGCTGTTAAACACAGCCGAAGATCCTACCTTGATTCACTTACTAGGTGTAAGAGTTGTCATGATTTGTATTGGAGAGATGAGAAGCACTGTAAGATTTGCCATGCTACCTTTGAGCTGGATATAGATCTTGAAGAAAGATATGCGATTCATGCAGCCACATGCAGCAGGAAGAGTGATTCATTTCCAGATCATAAAGTTCTATCTTCCCAGTTGCAATCACTAAAGGCTGCAGTGTATGCTATTGAGGTCTGTCGATAGTCTCTTTTGCTTTTACTATTTTTCCCTTTCTCGGTTTGTTTTGTGTTAAAAAACGGCTCCTTTTCTTGGTTAACATTTTTCAGTCTGCAATGCCCAAAGATGCCTTGATTGGTGCATGGAAAAAGTCTGCTCATAGGTTATGGGCCAAAAGGCTTCGGCGAAGCTCGACTTTGTCTGAAATTACGCAGGTGTTCATTTTATTTATGCAAGCTCCTTTTTCCTTATTTTAGTCCAAAATGATTGTTCTCTAACAAGTACCTCTTGTTGCTAAAAATCATGGTCTGAAGGTGATTGGCGACTTTGTTGGGGCAATCAATGAAGATTGGTTATGGCACTTTGGTGAGGAAGAGGCTTTGATGAAAGAAATTTTAACTAGCTTCTCTTCTATGCCTCGAACAACTTCTGCGATTGCTCTCTGGTTGGTAAAACTGGATACCTTGATTGCGCCTACTTATGTGGAAAAACCTCAACTTGAAGGGAATCAATTGAACAGGACCAGAAAGAAATACAAGTATGATCTACTTCTCTATCATCATCATCTGTTAGTAGTACTATAATAATTTAACTTTGCTTGTTTTCAGTTAATAATGCCTACTTGATTTCCTGATACTGTTTTTGGATTATTTGAGTTTTTTTTTCACTTACCTGGACTTATTTTTTTTCAGGTAGGCGAACGTATAAGCAGTAGTTGTAGCTCTCATCTAGACATCACGGAAGGGGGATACGTAGGAGGAATATTGTATAGAGAAGAGAATGTTTTGTTCCTGCATTAAGTGACTTTTTGATAAAATATGTATATAGACATTTTAGCAAGTAGCAGGATCGCATTCGTTTTTAAATTGTTCTTTTTTTCATTGTATGGGAAAAACGTAGTTTTATGTCCTGGTGACATTTTTGGGGGTTTGTTGTGTAAAATAAATCGATCACCATTGTGTTATGTGGTGATCTAACAATATATCTGTAGTTTGATCCTTACAAACATTTTTATAATTATGTGTATTTGGTTTGTCAAAATTAGCAAACATATTATTCATAACTAGATTTTATATTCGCGCTACGCGCGAGTCTGTTTTAATAATTTAGTTTAATTAAAATAACTTAAAACTAAAATATTAATTGAGTAGTATAATTTTCTTATTTAAAATATAATCTTTAATTTAGTATTTATGTTTTCTTATAATTATGTTATCTTATTAGCTATTTAGTTATTTGTATTTGTAAATATAATAATTATGTTTCTAAACATATTCATATTTTTTGGAAATATTAATTTATATTTTAAAATATTAAATAGATTTCTCAATACATGTAAACTTTTAACAC